AATTAACATAATCACTGATACTCCGTTTGAATGATGCAGCTGAGGCTTCCGTTACATCTTTATTCTCAATTTTAAAGGTGTTATTCCACGAGGTAATTAATCTACCGTCGTATGTATTTCGAGACGTTTCATCATTCCAATCCATTTTTTAAATCTCAAAAATGGTTTTCCACTGTTCCACATCTGCTTCCTCTTGCTTGTCCTCTGTCAGTGTTGAGCCCGCCACCTTATCACATATATTCTGTTCTTTTTTGTAAACGGTTGTTTGTTTTCAATACGTTGTTTCCTATTTTTTCGGTCTTATTGTTGTTTACGTTCGAACTGCGAAGTGACGCAAATATCTGCCTGCTACCTACGATGAGTTTCTTTCGACAAGTTTTTCCTTGAATTCATTTTCCACAACGCTTCAGTAAGTTTCTTATGCTAAGCATATTCTTTCTGTTCTCTCCTTGCTTCCTCTTTCTTGTTATTTTCTTCTGCTGCTATTCCGCCATGCGTCGCTCAATCGCTTTGTTCTGCACCATATGCAGTTCATTGATGTATGTACGTCGCGGTTCAGCCTGTCTTATTTGTATTCTGGATCTCGGTTGCAAACCGTGAATACTATTCTGCTGCTGCGTAGCACTTGTTTGTTGCTTGATTCTCTAGCTCTTTTTGCAATTTTCTTTTGATTAACTCATCCCGTAAATAATTTTTTTTCTCACAATGACGTTCTTTGCTCTGTCCTGATCATGCTTATCTTTTACCATTTATTCGTTTTTCCACACTTATTGGTTGTTCACAGCGACTGCTTTTCCGCATCTGTTGAAAGTTGTGCTAAAGAAGCGTTTGGAAAGAAGAACATTACCGGCAGTCGAATGCGACAAGCATTATTTGCAAGAAGGTAAATAACTTCCGGCAGAAAGGCAAACTTATCTTTATCTTTGCCTCTACATGCAGTAAATTAATAATCCATATCAATGTTGGCGATAAGTTAAGCTGGGCGACAGTTTCCGAATGAAAATATGAGAGGTGATATTGTTCTATTCCACTTTCTTTGATATGTAGTGCTCTCTTATATATTCAGGTTCAAAACCTGCCATATTTCAGCACCTATTTGACTGAGAACAGTATAAGCAAATATATGCCGGAACTTATATTCTTTTCTCGACTTAAATATTGGAAATGCTGCTGAAACCCCGGATTGTTTCAACTATCTTCTTGCAGAACTCTGACAAGGTGAAGTAACTCTAGAGGGACCTCATCTTCATCTTCTATCGTCGCTTCTCCATTTGGGTCGCGGGGGCAGATAAATCAGACAGAGCTTCCAACGTCCCGATCCTGTGCCAGAGTCTGAGCTTCGGCAGAAGACAAATGGAGTCTGGAACAGACTCCTTCCATATATTTGCACCAGGTTTACG